GAGCTGTGCGAGGTTGTGCTAGGAGTCTACGGGGGAAAAGGAGCGGGCATGAGGTGTTCTGTCTTACGTTTATGATGTATGGCGAACTTTCGTCCTGCAGTAGTATGACTACAGTATGGGATATACTGATGTATTGGGGTTGGGCAACTTTTCGTGAATCTGACAAGTTGCGTGAGACGCAAGTCTTGCCTGCACCGCTGCCCGGTAGCCTTGGACAAGCGACAGCGCCCACCCGTCTCTCAATCACTTGTTTCTCACCATCTCTCAGGATTTCGGCGCGGGGGCTGGAGCCCAGGGCCAGACCCAAGGAATGGTGATCCTGAAGTCGATCACGCGGGCGAAAACATGAAGAGCAGTGGAAGCCCCTTTCGAGCCTCGTCCTCGCTCTGGAAGTGGAAGTCAGGTAACAAGTTCGCTGTTTCCGATGGGAGAATCTGGAGCAGCCCAAACAGCCCAGCCCATCGATGGCCATACACCATGGTTCAAGCAGCTTTCACGTGAAGCCTATGCTCAAATCCTGTCGTCGAGTCTTGCATGCAGGATGAAGCAGTGCTCAGCTGTGCTCATTTCAGGTCGAGAGCCGAGACGGTCTCGGCGAGTGGTCACTGAGCTTTGTCAACACAAGAACTCGTAAATCTGTCAGAACTCTGTATGAGGGCGATGCAATCTCTGGGGACGTAGGCAAGAAGCCAACGCCTAACAGGACCTGAAAGACAGCCCCATCCCGGAAGTTGCCGTTCTGTCTTGGAAGGGTGCTCATCTATGCCGAGCAGCTCCACCGGGCTTCACTTTGGACTCCCAGAGTGCCATTTGCTCCTGGTTTCCGATGGCTTCGGCATCCGCGATAGGTCACCGCATGTCAACATTGATTGCCGAATCAAACTTGGAACAAAGGCTGCCTGTGCATAGTCCGCAGAGCGCCCGCGGAAATCAACCAGGGCCATGTCCATGGACCTGTTGGCCGGGAGCTCGGAGGCAGCTCTCAGCACTACAAAAACCCAACCTTGACGGGAAGGCATCGGCTGCCCTCCTCGGGTGCGCGGCTTCAGATCAACACAAAGAGGCGAGCTGCAGCTGGGCCAAGCGTCTGTAAGGATGCGAGGTAGAGCACACCACGCTCCCCCAAGGATGCCTGGAGCTCGGCCTTGCACTGCAGGTCGCGGGCGTCTGTTTTCTTCTGATGCTCGAAGACGGGAAAGGCAAGGGCTCGTCGCTGCTCGAAGATGAAAGCTCGCCCTTCACGGGTCGGGGTTTGCTTGTGACGGTTTTCTGGACACCACCGACACGCTTACGGGGCATGCACGTGCATGCGCAAAGGGTGCACATCGAAGCTCTTGTCCCCCTGACCCTGCCCTCTTCCGCACACGCTACTTCCTTTGCACCCAGGTGCTCTAGCCGAGACTGTCCCAAGCAGTATCCGAAGGCATGCGACGGCTTGCATATCTGACGAATGCCCACAGTGACCGACAGAGCACAAGAAAGCCACGACAACTCATTCCAAAGCCGCAGGGATGCACCGGGGAACACATGAGCAAGAACCGCTTCTGTGCCAAGTCATCGTGGCCCGAACCTTCAATCTCAGAAGGCTGGTCAGGCTCAGCCATGATCCCAGCCTTGGACTTAATCGTGCTGTTGAAGCCCAACTTGCCGCAGCACATGAAGATGCTATCATAGCCGAAGCAGGGCGCACCGTCATGCGCCGGATTTCTTGGATCCCCCGAGCGCTGGGCATATTGCAGACCCGGAAAGTCTCTGACAGCAGCAAGTGTGTCCCAGTCCTGCAGGAATAATTTGGCTCGCACAAAGGTCGTCACTGTAGTCGGAGTTGGGCTGCCGCCACCAGCCTCCAGAGGCACACCGATCTCCACGAGCGCCATCTGGCTCTGGCCATTGCGCACCATGGTGCCTGCGTGGACAGCAGATGCAACTCATCGACTTTGCGTGAGGGCATGTGCCTTGCCTACCACGGCGGCAATCATGTCCTGAAAGGACATGTACCTGGAGCAGCTGGCCGTCAGCCGTGTGAACTGCAAAGAAGACTTTAAGGGCTTGGCTCTTCGTGTAAGATGAGGACAGGTGCGCCGCGGCCCGGAACACGGAGGCCGCGAACCTCGCTCGAGAAGACACATGGTGCAGGCAAAAAACGTCGGACTTCTCCCGGGTATCCAGCCCATGCATGCATTCCTGAGCAGGACTCGAGGTGAATTCTCCCACCACGGCTCTCTCTTGCAAGCTGAAGATCTAGGGCAGCTCTCTCGCCTGGGCTAGATGGATTGTGCTGCAACCTAAACTAAATCATCATAGCAAGCCTATCCAACTATGCAATACCAAACAGAGACTGAGCCGGCATCCGAGATGCCAAGACAGCATGCGTGCTCGCTGTCCTCGATTCCAACGAGCAGGAGAGACCAACAAGATAAATAAGGAGAGAGCGAGAGTGACAGCAAGAGTGTGGGCATCAGCGATGCTTGGCTGAGTTCTGCGACCCACGGTCTGCGCCAGCCTTGCACCGAGCTCCGTTGCTGCAAGGCCCGCGGAAAGGCTTGGCCTGGATACAAAGTCCGGAGAAGACGATGAAATCCAGATGCTCGTTGCGTCACACTGTGGCCCCAGCAACTGCCGCAAGAAAGCCTGCAAGTCCTTGCAAACCGTCCGGGACGGCTGCTGTGCACAAGGAAAGCCTAGTGGGCCGAGCGGTCGGCTGATCGCACACTATGCCCGACCTTCCCACAACAGTGCAACGCGGCAAGGAAAGCCCAGAAACTCTGAGAGCTGCATTGCAGACAAGTAGCCCGAAGAAGCGGCGATCGCACCCCGGTCTCGGGCAAGTATTCCTCACATGCTGCTCTCCGTGTTCTGTCCCGGAAACCTACCTTTTGGCATTTGTGCCGTCTGTGCCATTAAACAACATTAAACAACTTTGTGATTGGCAGCAACATCCAATGCTCCTTTGCAAGAGACCGCATGCGGTCGTCGAGTACCTGCCCAATCGCCTGGACTGGTGAAGTTGAAGAAAATGTCAATGTGGCGGGGAGCATTCTCCGGCCTGGACCGACCTGAACTGTTCCACGACCTCTCCGCACCGTGCATCCTAAGCCGAGCTTCTGTCCGTGTCGCCCGGTACTATAGCGACCCTCGCCCTGAGAACGCCGCTGAATGCTGGCACAAGGTCAGATAGTCCAAAGTCGAACCGAGCACGGAAAGTCCTGCCAGATCTTGGCCTCAACTTCTCACAATCGCCACAGCTCTCCCTGCCTACGTCTCGCAGCAACTGGAACGTCGACGACTCCAAGGAGGTCCTGCCATGCACGAACACAACGCCTGCCATTGTCTACTGCACTGGGCTGCTCCAGCCTTTGGCATGACCCTCAACCTGACTATCCTGACTTCAGCCCTCAAGTAAAATAAATACATCATCATAGCTTCACTCCCACATGTTCCCTTGAGGAACACAGTGGCCCCGTCCCCGCCCATGCTGGTTAGCAGCGTGCCAAAACAATTGACTTCTGTCACGCTGCCATGCTTGTGGATGTCCTGGCCTTTGCCCCGAAGTTCTCCGGTCAGCTGCCTGCAGGGCCCAAAAGGCGTTTATTGCAGAAATGCACAAGCTACCACACTTTCGGGAATGCACATCTTTGATCATCTTTGGCGGGGCTCTCCTTTCTCACTCACTTGCCAGTCCACGAACCACGACGGCAGGATACGGATAGCGTGTTTCGTGAATGGCTCAGCTCAAAGTAAAAGCCTCTTGGGCCTGGCCAGCTGCAATCACATCAACATCCTCTGCTTGCTGTGGGCTCGCCAACAGCCAATCGTAGAGCGCCTAGCAATGCTGTAGCTGCAGACTTCAATGCCCATTGCCAAACGTTCTCAAAACCCTGTGCGGCTAGGCTTAGATGAAGTTGAGAGCGCCTGGAACTCGGCCACGCCGCAGGCAGTGATGCACTGCTGGAAGTTGCTTGCGCAGGGCAGCAGCCTGTGGCAGCATGCGGGCAGAGACGTGTACCGTGTCTCAAATGCCCGTAGTGACTTAGTGCAGCCAATTGGCTGGGCATGCTGCTGCACGGAATTGAGTGTGGCAGTCTGCCCCAAAACGCCTGGCAGGGCAGCCGACGAAAATGCCAACAGTGACCCAATGCTTCCACCTCGTGTCACGAGAAGCGGTGCCGCATGGCAAACCCTGGGCAACACCCCGCCCATGTGGTGCCAACGGCTGGCTACAAAATGTTGCTTCTACAGATGCTCAGTACGACTGAGGCACTCCATTGAAGGCCGTGTAGTGCTGCCTGCTGTCAATCTGCCGGGGTATACCGGGGTATGTGCGTGCGAGTGTGTGTTTGCGTGGCCTCTCCAGCATGCCCAAATATGTAAGGTCCCGCAAGGGCCAGAAAGAAGAAGCCGATGGGCTCCCCGTGACTGCTTGAGGGCAGGAGCGGCAGACACTCCGCAATGCGGGGGGCTGGAGTGTTGAGGTTGCAGAAGCCAAGCCCTTTTCAGTACCATGAGACAAGTAGACCAGGATAATTTGCATCTCGCATGCGCACCTTGAGTCTGTAGAAAACACTGGCAGGGGTCAACCGAGGCTGTTGCAGCCTGCTGGCCTGAAGCCTTGAAATCTCTGCACACTAAAAGCACGGAGCGGCGGGTCGATGCACGAAAGCGTCAGCCCCACCCCGTGCGATTTCGCCAAGCATTCTGCCTTCAGCCACTATCTCCTATCTTTAGTCCTGACGCCTCGCCACGCTTCGCCAGGCTTCGCCACGCTTCATGGAAGGCAAAACACTCTCTATTCTGTTGATCGGAACTTGAAAACTCGGAGGCTTGGCTAGGAAACTCTCTCGGCCTACTGTGTAGGCAAACCAAGCATTGCCGAGCCGCTTGCGACTCGAGCTGTCTGTTTCAAAATGGAATGTGACATCGGCACATCTGGCACTTGCACCTGCAGGACACTGCCAAGTGCTGCAGAAGGTCTGAAACATTCAGAATCTCCGTGTCACCTCAAGCCAAGGTGCTTCCCTCTAGGAGGGTCTTCGTCGTTGGTGAAACATGCCTGAGCAAGTCGGAATGTCGTAATCCCAGATGAAGCTGCGCTCACAGATTTCAAAGTTCGCTACAGCCTGAAACCGTATCGAACAGCTGCAACTCGGATGCTCTCTCTCTCGACAAAGCCGGCCATCTCGAGGAAGTGGTCTCCCCTGCTGAAACGCAATTGGCGGGCCGGGACCACTTTATCTTAGAAAACAGAGCAGATCACAGCGTCAGTCTTGTGCATGTGTTGGATACACCTAATTACACTGCTATCCAGACGGGACCAGCGATGGGTGGACCACCAGAATCACTAGAATAGCCGCAGCGCCTCAATGGTGTAAAGCCTGGGCAATCGCCAATGGATACAGCGCTTACAGCTTCAAGCTACTCATCAATCAGCATGCATCCGTAGCTTGGCAGGATGCGCGACACTACACAACGAGAAGAGGTTAGTTGCGTGCTCGTGCCGCGTTAGCTGGCCTCATTTGCACCTCCCAGAGATTACCCGTCGGATTCACAGATAGTGGGTGGGTTTCTCTTAAATTATGTAGCTCACCGAATTGATAACATGACATCGTAGTCGTGGCAGATGGCGGCAGGCAACACAGCAGCCAGGAACGGTAGAGGCAATTGATCGAGAGGGTTGTTCAAACAGGAGGAAAAGCTTGGTGGAGCTACTCAGCTACTCGCGCTAAATGTTGATGTGGAATCGGTCCTGTCCTGGTCGCCGACCCCCGAAGTGACGTAGATTGCTCCCACGAGAGATTTCATTAAGCTTCTAGCAATAAAAACGTTCGTCGACAGTCGAAGCACAGGAAAGCCGCGGAAGAAGGCTGAAAAATGATGCTCGCATGGGCATGCGGGAAACGAGCTTGCCAATGGAGTTCACATCATCATGCTGACAGCATGCAGGAAAGGCAGTGATGCTTCGCAGATCTTGGGCTCCGATAAGCTGCAGGGACCGGCGGCCCACCCATCGTCGTGCCACCGCAACAATCAAGATCTCATGTCACTCAAGCATCTGCTCAAGCTGAATTGGCGACTGCTCACGCGGAAATACGCGACTTTGTGCTAGATTCTGTCGTTCACCGTTCTTCTCTTGTCATGGGTCGTTCTATGTCGTTCTCGCAAGGACCTTGCTCTGCGAGCTAAAGGCTGGAATAGTGATCACACCCACCGCTGGTCTGGTTGCATCTCGACCCCGTCGAGCCGTGCAAGATTGAAAGGGGCATACCCTGCACTTGACTCGTTCTCTGCGCACCAAATGTTGAGGATATTCATGGGATGAGGGCTGAGCCAACCTTTTACTGGAGACCAGTGGACGACGTGGAAGCGGAAGGTTGGACTTGGAACGATCCACATCGCTGCGAAGATCTTTCCGAACGACATTAAAAACTGCGCCGCTCGTTTGCAAGTTCCTGTAAATACACAATGGGCATCGCACGTAGTACAAGATGTTCCTGCACATGTGGGGGCACGTGCGTGTCTGCGCAGAGAGAAGCACGTCTCGTCCGAAAATGAAACGAACTCACCCGAAGCGTTGGTTGCTCTCTGCCGAGCTCTTCTTGCATGAATCGGATGCCACGCGCAAAATTACAAGCCTTCTTTTCGACTTAAATGGAGGACAATCCAATCCAGTCTTCGCGCGGTGAAGCTGATTCCCGAGTGGGATGATGCCTAACTGGCTTCAGGATGCTTCAGGCTAAGACATCTGTCAGGGCATTGCGAAGAACCGCAAGCGCGGTTTGTGTCGCGATGAACTTTAACATCCCGCACGAGCTCAAACTGCGAAGCGTGTCTTTCTGTCCGATAACAGGCGGACGAACCAAACCGAAACAATGACGAAATGACTTCAGGTTCTGCAAAGTGGCAATATGCAGGTGCTGCTCGCATGCCTGTGGCTGCTGCAGGACCTGGAGACCGAAGCGCTTGAAAAGCTCAAAATTGCTCTCGGCTAGGCTGCGTGGCAAGGATAATCTGTCGGGTGCCAAGGCGCCGCAGAGCGGCCTTGGCCTTCGGAGTCCTGGGCTTTGCAAACTGCGCTTCGCGTCCTTCAGAGTCCAAGCCTTCCAGGGCCTCCAGAGCGGAGTCGAGGGGCACCTGCCACTTGGTGGCCTTCCTGAGCGGTTGCAGGCATCGCCCATCCGCCACACAACACAATCGAGCGCTCTGTGCTCGGACCTTGGCGACGATCCTTCGGAGCGGAAATTGCCTGCGCAAAAACGGATGCCGCAACCCCATCAGAACAAAACGGGCCACAAGTGAGGCAGCCTCGGCTCGAGGGTCTGGAAAGCGAGTTCGACGCGACCGGCCCACAAGCCTGAGACAGAAGTTGGCAGACATTTCGGAGTCGCAGATGTGATGCCAAGCAAGCAGCGAGCTCCATTGAGGGATCGAGTTCCTTCGCCGCTAAGTGACAACAGCTTGAATCATGCAGGATATACCAGCTGTAGAGCCTGGTCGTGCTCTGCATCAGACTCCATGACGGACTCAAGCTGACCGCTCGACAAACAGTCCACCATAACCTGTCGTAGTCTATTCTTCACACACTGAGCCACCGAGTGTTTTCCAGTGAGTCCTAGCACCCAAGCCGAATTTCAGCATTGAGATGTATCAAAACAGCCGGGGGGAGCCGTGATTGCATCAATTCCCTGCTTACTGTGTCGGAATGATGGCACGCACACATGGGATCTTGGCATCCTTGCCTCAGTCCCGCTCACGGACGAAGGACTCAAAGTGCTTTTGCCTTGGGGGAAGGACCAGGTTGATACCTGCTCTATGTATGATAATGCCGGGGGCCCAACTGGCCACTTTGGCATGAGTCGGCAGTGAGGCATCGCTGCCAGTTCTGCTGCCCTCTCTGCTGCCAGTTCGCTTCGAACCTGCCAACAAAAAATTGAAGTAGCCTGGCTCCAATGTCGAAATGACACACAGGAATAGAGTTCAATTGCTCTGATTGGCATGCCAGGTGCATCAGTGTTGAACCTTCCACCTCAAGGCCTCACCTGACTTCGCCATCGATTTCCAAGGACAAGTGACCTGCCTGAGGACAGGATGCGACCCACAATGCCTGGCCACTGTGGCTTTTTAGCATTCTCCGGCGAGCTCAGGACCTCAACCCAGTAGCAAGAAAGAAGGCAGAGCAGCTAATGGGCAAGTCTGCTCTGCACTCAAGTAGGTAGTGGTCGCAAGGGAACGAAAACACGTGAACAACCTTAGAGGTCTGTGCACACAGCCCACCACTCCATCGATGTTTTGGATTGTACCTCCGTCCAAGCCATACGTCGTCTTGTCTTTGTGTGCCAGTGTGTGTGTGTGTGTACGCATGTGGGTCTCTGCGCATGTGTCTGTCTGTGTCTATCTGTGTCTGTGTCCGCTGTTTCTATCTGCCTGTGTCTGTCACTATCTGTTCGCGTGTATGTATGTGTATGTGTGTGTGCGTGCTTCTTTCCGCTTCTGTCTGTGTCTGTGACTGCTTCTGTGCCGGTCTGTGGCTGGTCGGTCGATCTTTGCATGCCTGCTTTCATGCGTGTGTGTGTGTGTGTGCGCACGCATATGTATACACATGCATGTGTATATATATATATATATGTATATATATATATTGTATGTAATACATATATGTATGCATGTGTATATATATATATATATCGAGTTGAAGATAGTTTTATCTATCAAGATATGTACCGTAAGTGCGTAAGTATATGTGTGCGAGCACGTACGTATGTTTGCATGCATGCACATATGGGTTCATGTATGTTTGTGCTTGCGTCTGTGTGTGTGTTCCATGTACGCTATGTATGACATCTGAGCTATGTATGCTACTTGTAGGTATGCTATCCACGTAACGTATGCCAGATTTGATATGCCGTATGCATGTTTGGTGTGCTCTGTCAGCTCTGTGTGCTGTATATGTTGCGTATGCTATGTCCGCTAGCTATGTGCGTAAACATATGTATGCGATGTATGTATGGATGGAGGGAGGGGGGTGCATGCTTGTATCCATATGTATGTATGTATGTGTATATATATATATATGTATGTATGTACAATCAAGATAACACCAGCTCCCTACAAATATGCATGAATAGACAAACAGTTGAGCTGCCAGAAATTCTGTTGCCGACCCTGCATTGGGCTGCAAAGCGGCATCCTGAACACGCTTCTGATACTCGGTGAGCGACACCTGCAGGGAAGGGCCCGCACAGTATAGAGGCATCCTGGCCTCGAACCCCTCTGCCCTCCAAGCCTGGCTGCTCGACTTCTTGGCGACGAAAGAGCCGCGCCGAAGCTGAACCAGGCTGCGGCGACCACGCTTAATATCAGCACCTGAAAAGATGTTTGCAAAAATCTATGCAACGCGGCAGAAGAGCCACGAGAGCTGCCAATGTGCCCAGCCTTGCTCAACTTCCGTTGCCAAGTTTTTCCACAGAGCGTCAAAAGCTGGCATCACGCGCTCCCTCTCCATGTCAAGCAAGCATTCCTCGGATTGGAATGCCAAGAGATAGCAATCGTGCGCAAGACATCACTCAAGGGCACCATCCTGCTAGGTCGAATTGCTTGTACTGCTTTAGATCGCTTCTGCACATTCACAGCTCCTGTTGTGAACTCTGCGACTTCCCTTGGCAATCACTGATTACTACAGCCGGCAGCCTGCACATAGTCGAAGCATCAAGCTGCCAAGGAAAGCTGGGGCAGGATCAACGCCTAATCGATGCGCCATGCGTCATGATCCTGAACATGTTGTCCGGATAGGCGTGGCAGCTGCGCCGAGATCGGGTCCAAGAGCAGCAAGAGGCGGTTGTTCATGTCATGCTGCATGTCATGAACCTTACAATAGGCGCTGTGCTCGAAGGAAACAGTTGATGAACGACGGCACGGAAGAAAAATCTGGAGCCAGCCGTAAAGAATGCTGTCTTGCAAGCCAACTTATTCGTGTATCACAACCCTCCACAATCGCACACGTCTGGGTCACGTACATCCAAGTCATTGGCATCTGCACCAAACGGGTTCTCGAGCCTTCAGGACACAAACCGACAGTTCAATTCATCTTCGTCTTCTGTTCAACATTCTTTAGACTTGTGTGGCGCAGGCTTTCGACTGCAAAGTTGCTCTGCCCAAGCTGCTCAATTGCTATGGAATGCAGGCTCCACAAAATGAACACAGTGATGAAGGTGATGACGCCTCGGGCACGAAAACGTGCAAGTCGCTCTAACAGACAAAACAGCCAGGACCAGGACATGCCGAGGTGCAGGAGACCGCTGGAGTTTGGGTCCCAAGCACCATGACAAATGGTGTCACGATCCAGTGGATGACCAGTAACATCAGCGTGGCTTGGGAATATGGGAAAGGTACTGCGATCCGCGCGATCTTGAGGCAGTCGTGGAACTTGACCATACCACTCGCCAACTCGCTGTATGCTCGCGTAAGGATGGGTGATGGCGCCGACATTATCCCACAATCGATGCTGCAGACAACTATAGACTGGATCCAATGGAAGACGAGTTCGACTTTACACTCGGCTTTCTTCAATGCTTTCAGCGAGGTCACATCAATACCAGTGCCGTCGATGAGGCCTGTAAAGCAGGCGCCGGATTGGTGCAGGAAGGTCTCTCAGGCAAGCGAGGCATTGCAGCGGAATGATCAGGCAGTGAGTTTTGAGCCCAAGTTCAACCCAGCCACGCAGACGGTGCGCCCATCTGTCATCATCTTCGTCGTCGTCGTCCTCAAGCTCGGCCAGGCTGAGCGCGTGCAACATGCCTGGGGACAGGCGCAAAGAAAGCACATATTGCAAGGACAGTCCGATTGTCCTGATTCATACTTCGAGGTACTGAAGAGGCGCACCACTATCTGTCGGAACTCCCAAAGTTTCCTGGGTCGGACACGATAACAAACAGTGCATGCCGAAGGGTGCATCAGGACTGGTCTTGTAGAAGACGTCCTGCTTCTTATGCCAAGCTTCTTGGCATCTGCTTTGGAAGTCCTGGTGATGCATCCGGAAGCCAACGACTAACTAGCGGTGCTGATGCTGCTGGGCAGATCATGCTTCAGAAGTTTGATGGACTTGTTTCTGGACAAGCCGCAGCTTGACTCGGCTGTCTGGCGAATCTAGTCGGTACTTTCGTTTGTTTGCTCGTCTGCCCCGAAAGAGAACATGTAGCCGGAGAAGAAGGCTCGCGAGTTTTTAGCGCAGTTGCAAACCCTTGTACTTTCACACTAGCAGAATCTTCGAAGCGGCGGTTCAGCTCAGACCAACCTTGCTGGGAAGCTGTGCTCCGGAAAGCCCCGTGCCACACTCTGATGAGCACCATGGGGCAGCCTCCTCGCAGTCGACCAAGCGTCAGCTGTCGGACCGGTCCATGACAGAGTCAGTGGCGTTTCGACCGGTGGTGACAAAACTGTGCGGTGCTTGTGGCATGGGCTGCATGTTCCTTCACGCTCAAAATGCCAGGTTTGCTGTCCGGATTGTGCTACGCGACATTGTCACGAAGGCAGGTCGGCTTCCAACACTCACCCGAATGCAAAGCGAGCCTGGTGAACGAGATGATGCTGCTAGCTGCATCGAACCAGTCGCCACGCATCCTCGGTCATCTGCTGCTTCGCTTTGCTGGAACGGCTCAAGCAACCGACTTGCACCTCACTGCCGGCGGACTCAAGCAGCCCAGCGTCTGATGCGTCAGAGTGCTCCCATCCCAGAATCCTTGGATTGAAATTCGCATTTTCTAGAGAACTACCCGCCCCTTTGCAGTAGCAGTTCGTCGCCGACACCCTGCTGCTTTATGCCTGAGCCCGGAGTGAGCCCAGCATCTGTCGTAGGCTTGCCCAGTCCGAAAAACGACCAGTATCCTGGCACAGTCTCGAGCCCAAGCCCACATGCACTCGTGTTGCATACTCCCTGGACGGAAGGCGGGGCTGGCCAGTGGGATCTCCAGCTACTGTGCAGCAGCCTCTTTAGATCTCTTTAGCTGCTAGACGGCGCCTGCCTGTCAATTGCACGATGCGGCAGGCATACTTATGTCCATCATACCGGCTGATTCAGTGAAACAGCAACGGAACTGATTGAGAAAACGCTCAACAGCTCAATACACCGCAGATCAAAGCCCCCAGACGCAAATCGGCGGCTACAGCAATGTGCGGCAGAGCTACCCAAGAAGAGTTGAGAATGCGTTGTAGACCGTGGCATCCATCTCCGTGTGCGACAGAATATCAGTAAGGACTGGCCATTCGTGAACATCTCCATATTTGAAGAGGAAGGCCACCTGAGGTTTTAATGAGACGACAGCCGTGGCTGCTGATGCCGAGATTGAAGATGGTGCTAAGCGTGTGGGTCGTGGGTCTGGCAAGGCACCAGCGCGCAAGGCAAAGCTACCTTGGTGGCGAAAGGGAAGACGCTGCCGTTGAGATGGAAGAGCGCAGACAGGCTGACACCTCAAGGGGGCACGGGGCATGCGGTTTGCACTGCTTGGGCTCTTCAACACCTCGTTGGGCCAAGGGGCGACTTTTCAGCCGCGAGAAAGACAGCACCATCGCAACTGTTGAACATGGCACTCTAGCAGCAAAACCACTGCAACTCACAAAAGCGCCGCACAATGGCAACTCAAACTACAATGCAACGTCGATCGTGGCGGGTGCCAAACTGCTGCTACATTGGCTGCATAGCACCCGGTAGAGAACACGTGAGCGACGAACAATGTCTCATGTCACGAAGCACATTTACCCAAATGGCATCACCCGTTCACCTATCATGACTTGCATGTGTCTCACGTGGTCAGCTGCTACCCTATCCTGCAACCTAGTCAGCTAGTCAACCCTGCCCGAGCCATTCCGATTCGATCAGGGACCGTGCCGTTCCACTTGGTCCAAGGGAGTGTTTCCTTCCCCCTGCCTGATCAAGCTCTTTGACACAAGTAGAGCGGGGCTTTGTCAGATCTCAAGTTCAGCAAGACGCAGAGTCCAGGCATGCCTCACAAGTCCCCCACGGCCAGAAATTGAAGAGTCCACAAACTTCAGATTGCTGTCTTTTGGAACTCTGCGACGCCTTGAAGCGCACGGATCGCAGACCCAAGTGTCATACACAACACAACAGCTCGAGGCAAACAGTAGCGATTGGTTCGTGGCCGCGCGTGTTCTGCAACTCAACGATCTTGTAGTTCGTTCGAACTCAAAGGAAGTCTGTAGGACAAAAGCACGATAGTAGTTATCTGCAGGTGTCTGCATCTATGTCAATTACTACCGGCATGAACCGCACGACCCTATGCATGCGTCAGGCACTGTCACCGACTACGTGCAAAGCATCAGGCCGAATTGAAGGACCGAACTTATAGAAGAGGAAGACTGAGCGTCCGAAATTCATGTCGAATTCAGCCTGCTGCTTGCGCAACAAATGCTTGCAATCGCTTGCAAGGGCTGGTGGACTCATCTTGGAAGGCTAACATAATTTAACATAATGCAATAATAATGGAATTATATGCTTTTCAAAGTCTGCATCTGCTGCCGGCCTCCTTGTCGAATCCGTGGCTTCTGGCCATTATTCCAGCCCTTCGCACAGCTCTGCGGCAGCATGCGGCCACTTTGAAAGGACGCCACAGGCGCAGACTGCAATGCTGCTCAGCAGCATTACAGTCTGCGCCAAGAACTGGTGGCCGCCCTGTGTTACAGGCACGACATGGCACGAATTCTGTTTTGCTTTAGACTCGCTGAGGAATCACATGCCGACTGTCTAACAAAACTCATAAGCTTAGGAAGTGCGACCTCTCGCAAACCGATGCGTTCAAAGGACGGCATGATGTCCCCGACTGCCCAGCATCGAACAGCCTGTGCGTTGCCGCTCTGCCTGGGCACATGAACGACGAAAGGAATCGAATCCAAAACAACTCAAGCGCCAGAACTTACGGAACATACCTTACTGCACCCTGTCGCGAACCGCAATTTACCATGCCACACCCCAACGGCGTCATATGCGTCATGTTCCAGCAGGAAAACAGAAGTATACTGTATACTGCAGCAGCTTAAGCAGGTGACCTAGCTGTCGCTTGCCGGCTTCTCGGGCAGGTCAGCTGCCTCGGAGTTCGCCACCTGCGCGGGGGGGGGGGGGGGGNNGGGGGGGGGGGGGGGGGGGAAGATGTCAGAGCCGTAACAGGTTGGTCTTGCCGCATTCCCGGGCCAGCCAATGAAACTGCCCGAAGTCCCAACTGGACTTATTAGGTCCGGGCCTCCTCACTGCCCTGCGAGCGCCACTGGGCCCTTTCCTTGCCTCAGACAGGGTCCAACATGGTCCAACAAGCCAACGTCAGTTTCAACACCTTCGCAGACATGGCAAGCATGGGGCTCGGAGGCGTCATCGGGCGCAGCTCGAAGTCATGTCGCCAAGACCTGGCAAGCGGAGGTCACCAAAGAAGTCGTAAGACCTCCGACTTTGAGTCTAACCGTGGTCAATCGAGGACAGAGGTACTGGTCTGCAAGAATGTTCTCCAGCCGAGTGCTGCCACCCACCGGCACCTGCGACGTCTTCTTGCCTGAGGGCTATTCATGCATGTTGCGCTGTGACCTCGCATAGACATGCATAGGGCCAAATCAGGCCGGGCATGACCAGCGCTGACACTGAGAGGCTGGCTTGTCGAGCGTCGTGTGAGGCTGTCAAGTGCCAGCTTCGCCGCTTTCGCACTCATCTGCGGCTGGAAGAGGCCTTTATCCTAGGCTCGTATAGCCACAAGCAGATGTCAAAAATCGCACGGTCGACACGCGAATCTGCACAGGCAAGCGCATGCACTCGAGTATTAAGTACTTGCAGTCGGCAGATAGCAGTCATCAGCAGCAGCATCTTAAAGGAGACGTACGGCGACCGAGACTGCCAGCAGTTGGTCGGGTGATTTCGATAAGTCAATCGCAGTTCCAGGAAGAGCTACAGATACAGGGCACGGCGCCTTGGCATCACCACCCGTCCCGGATAGCGCAACTGACTCCGAGCAGCCACATCTGGATCTCCACCCGCCGTTCCCATGCAGCTCATCCAGGTCTCGGAAGGTGCAATGTCACCTCGCGGCGGGTCAGTTGGCAGAGGGCTAAAGTAGACGCGAATCGCTCCGTCGGACTTGACTTGTGGTTGACAGCCGAGGGTCCAAGATCCTGCGCGCTGGTCTTCACGTAAGCGTGGCAGCGGCCTCCAAACAAGGAAGGATTCGGCCCGCCTCCCATCCCAAGTCCGTGCAATTTTCCCTTTCCGAGCCTAGCTCTTTGCTGTTGAACCAGTTGTAGGATCCGATGCGCCAGGCACCGTTGTGGTACCACATGCACTCGAGGCCCGCATCTCCTTGCAAAGAAAAGCTCGAAAGAGCATCACTCCACAGACTGCGTCCAACGCTCGCACCGGTAATCGCGGGTGGCTCGTAAATTGTTCAACCTGTTCTTGACATCGTCGCATCCGCCCCCTCCGAAAGCTGGGCGAACTAGAAACCTAGTCGGTGCCGCGCTTCTCATCGCTAGCCGCTAACGTAGATTCGAAAATCAAACGACCAAAGAAACCACAAGAATGGGGAGGTGCGCAATCGAAAGCAACACTTTAGGTACAGGAGCTCCCCACACACACACACACACGCACACACACGCACACACGCATACACACACACACACACACGTCGTCACCTTTTACTGTTGAGGACCGGAGACTTCCCACAGTCCTATCAAGCTCCTATTCAATCTACTTCAGGCGCTTTCACGGCAGTTGGGTTGCATGTTCTACTGATTCTATTGCTTCTGTTGCTTCTTGAAGCGATATTCCTCCCCAAGGCTTGGCGCAGTAGCATGGCAAGTGGAAGCAGTACGGTTGCACAGTATGTCGAGGCATGCGCCGATTTACCCGTTTCAACGCTCTTTCCTTGGACGACGTCTTAGCGTTTGCACACAAGTGACCAAATCGGGCCGAACACCGGTCCAGTCACGTCGCGCAGCTAATGCTTGAATCTGGGATCTGCTCCGCGGTACAAATGCCGACCTACTTTGTGGCAGCTGAGCCTTGCAAGCGCTTAAAGAGTACCCGGCATATGCCATGATTACGGTGCCTCTTCGCCTCTGCCCAACATCTGGAGTCATGGCAGACTTATTCTCACTGTGAATGCATCAAGCGACCCTGGCTCTGGCTGTAAACCTGCTTGCCGTTCACGGTGTTTCCGTCGGGCACGAAAGTGCCGTTCAAGCCTCGGGAGGTACCGTAAGAAAATGACGGCTTCTGTCAAGAACTATCCTTGTTTTGCATTTCAAGACCAGGTCGTAGTCAGATAGTCCCAGTATGTCCCAGCTCACCGTGTTGCCGCCATGCCCTGTCACTGCCATGCCGGAACCAGAACTCACGATCTGCTGCCGTTTTTTAGTAAACCCGCCCTGGCTCAATCAACTAGTCAAGCACCCGAGACCTAAATCCATGAAACTCTAACTTCCACCTTCTGCCCTGCAGGAAATGCCTCCTGCGAAGTGCACAGCAATGGCGCAACAATCAAACCAGGATGCTTGCACTGCCGCCAGTAAATCCACTCCTTGAAAAACAGCAGAAAGTGGTACAGCTGCTGCTTGATTTTGAAGCATTTAAGCTTGACACAGGCGACTGCCATGTCCACGCACGGCCACTCTCGTTGTTACGAGCATCTTGATTAATTATCGACCCTCAAACCCCAAAAAACTGAGAATGCAGGATCCTTATTTGGAGGTGCCGGACCCTCTTAAGGAGGTTATTTAGAGCCTTAGGTTAAGTGCTTGAATGCTTGAAGAATGCAGACAAGTTGTCAGCTGCACGGAATCATCAGGCTCTGGCTGCGCCTCGGCGTAGGTGAGACGAATTACAAATCAGGCAGCTGCCTCAAGCTGCTCGATGTGTGTCGAGGAAGTTATTTTGCACGCCTATGTATGTCCCCGTACGGGTGTCGGAAAAGATGCGAGCACGCAGCACAAGGAGGAAAACACTAAGGGAGAAGATGTGGGGTCAAGAGGAGGGCTAGCCGGTGAAGTCGGAGGACTGATACAGTCTGCGAGTTAAATAAAGAAGAAACATGTAGTTCAGGAACTTGATTTACTTTGCCAGAGAGGGCCATCCCGTTTTGTGCACCATCCGAGGCTTCATGATCGTGATTACGCACAGCCCGTTTGCTGGGCTGCCGAGCATCATCCGACGTCTCCGGCTGCTTCTCTTCCTTCTCAAGGCTCTCTTCCTTGGCTGGCCTCGGTCGACTTCACCATTCTCAAATCACCTCTTCTTCCTCGCAGCCAAGAGAGAGCACAGCAGCGCCCCCTCTGCGCGCGCGCACTGGTCTGCTTGTCCGTCCATCTTGTGAGACATGATGAGGCACGGCAAAGCATCTCTCTGTTCTGTTCTCTCCGTGTTGGAAGCAAGCACCCGGCTCGCTGATAGTCTGTGTCTCCAGTGCTGGAGCAGAGGCTCGCTTGGGAAGCCTGCCGCGTGATAAGATCAGCCCTTTGGACTTCTTTCCGAAGTCTGGACAGGTGTGTGCAGTCTCTCTGGGATCCTCGAGGACTTGCCTGGGCTGGCCGGGCCTGGCTCCATCTTTTGCTTTCGCCTGAACGGGGTCGTTAACGGATCCCACCGCCACACAAGCGGTATCGAGGACCGAGTGCCACACGCTACTTGAAATCGAACATCTCTCTCTCGGAGCTGCAAAACTGTTCGTGCGCCTGGGTTTCAGCATAGCTTCCAGTCAAGCACTGGTTGAAACCATGGGACCACGGCGCAACGCGCGCCTCAAATCTCTTCGCTCGCGGCCCTTGCTTTTGAAGAGATTGCTGGCGGATGCCTGATGCATCTAGTAGTGTTACAAGGTGTACATGCTTGAGAGCGCAAAAGTTATCAGCCACAGAATGGGACATCTCGTTTTGGGGAGTTTCGGGCAGCCCCACCCCAAAAAAATCACCTTTCAGATGCTCCAGGGTTTCGAGCTTGACTCATTTCGTGCTCTCGTTCGAAATAACAATGACATTTTGTCTTCTTTGGATGTTGGCGCTGGCTCTCGGACGGTCTCTCAAATCTTCGTGTGCATCAGTGCCAACTAAAAATTCCTTCCAACATAGATGATTCGCCTTGGCCCTGGCCAAAGCGGTCAGAGGTTGGGGGGATTCCCTATTGCTCCACCTCGTTATCCCCTCCCAAATGACCCACCCCCAGCTACCCCACGGAGAGGACCCACCAAAAACCTTGGCGTTCTGTGCGAACAGGCAACCCCATTCCTGGCTCCCCCGCCCCCCCCCCCCTCCAAGACGGGCTAGCTTACATCGGTCGTGAAGCTGATCCCAAAGCTTGGGAATTCTGGGGCTGTGTCTTGTACTTCGTTGCAAACCTTGCTTCCCTTTCCAACATATGGGAGGTTGTATACGATACCGCTGAGGAGTGTGATACGATTATTATAGTAGCGTCACAGGGAATGTGACATCTTTCGGGTAGGACTATTGCTCAGAGCTTCAGCATGACGTCACAAAACATTCTGAAGCAAACGTCCTTGACTCGAGACCTCACCTGTGTGACCTACCCGTTGCTTTCCGAAACAATGCACCTGCTGCAAGTACAGCCGGGCCGAGGCGGACGACGCGAGGCGTTTAAAGTTACCATGTCCCCTCCAACATATATTACTATCATTCCGCTCTGACAGCCAATTTGGTGAGATTTTGCTGGTTCCCTTTCGGCAATGCATTGGCCGGAGGCGTCACGTGCTCACAGCAGCGTCTCGTCGCCAAAAACCACACCAAAAGCACCAAGCTTCAGACCCAGCCAGCACAACCCCGGCTCAAACACAACCCAGCAGGTCAAAGCCCCCCACTCACAAGCAAGCGCTTTCTCTCTCTGGCTTTGAATGCTGAAGCTGCAAATGCCAGGTTTCCATCCTCAGTTTGTGTGCGACATTCTGCTCCTGAACTGCTTGTGAGATCCCAGGACTTTCGTTCTGCTGACCGTTCGGCAAGGTCTGGCCTGCAGAGATGTCGATGATCGCATCTGCTGTGTCGCCTCGCAAGCCGCCAAGGTGGGTGCGCAAAAGTCGTCCGAGCATTTAAGCACTTGTGTTGAAACTTCCTCGGACTCCCACCGCAGCCGGCGGCGCCTGCAAAGACTGGGGAGACATGGAGACACCTGGGCCTTGGGACATGAGCCAGCCTGGCTGATTTTTCTATGCCGCCATCGGACCAGAGAGCCTTGCAGCATGATGTCGCCCTGACACAGGGCTTGAAGGCATCTCATGGATAGTAACGCAATTAATCGGAGTTTACAGCTTGCACCTGGAACAAGAGCATGTCCTTATTGTACCTGAGCCAGCTTGCCCAAGCCGTCTTCCCTTTCCTGCAAGCCTTGCCTTTCAACTTTGAAGACGAGTAGCAAACTGCGGCTGACCACAGCAAAGCTGGTGGTGAAACTGTTGTGGTGTGCTCTCTCAATCTTCGCCTTAAGCAAGTCCGTACTGCTCAGGTTGTATCAGCATATACCAACCTGAGGCATAGGTACCCTTGTGTTGCTTGTTTCTTCATCGGCTGCTTCAAAGGCCTCCCATGGCCACGGCCCCACCCCAAGAAGAGAGCCCCCTGGTCTTATGCCACAGGTCATTGGTCATTGAGCCGATGCAGCGTGCACAACTTGACCTGGCACAAACTTCAACATTGAAGACCGTGTCACCCGTTTTACTGGAGCAGCATTGCTTTGAAGTGCTCTGCAATCCTGGAAGCAACATTTTGGATTCAAGCCGACTGGAAGTAGGCACGGCTCGGCTGTGGGAAGTCCGCACACCTGCTTTTCCTGGGAGCCTTTCAGCGCTGCATCGCAATTACAGAGGCTGTGCTCCACACTTGGCGCACAACCCGCAGCTCGCTCTCCGAAGCACACTGACTCGCCTCGTCACTTGTAGGAGCTCTCCTGACCCGCGACATGACCGGGCCAGTGAATGGGCACGCTGGGCAAAGCTGAATCGGGTCTTTTTTTCGGTTGAATGCAGCATAGCCAGGCGACTTCGTGAGGATTTCTCAACGGTCCCTTTCCTGAGAGGCAGTCCAAAGGGAGATGCGTTCATCTGCTGGCCTGGCCTTATCTTCATCAGCGTCTCCCTTGACAAGCCAGCTCAAGAAGCTTGCCTTGTCGAATTGGATTGCACTAGTCATTGGTTTGTTCGTTAGCTCGCGTCATAACTCAACACTGCGTGCCCAGAATTGCATGCAGTGGCTTGCAGTCTTGCAACTTGATGCCCAGTGGCACTGTACCACAGAACTGTCATGGAAAGTCACAAGAAGATGTAGATAATATAGATCAGTGAAACAAAGCGCTATGCACCTCAGATTCTCGTCTTTCACCTGAACGGAATGCTCCCACTGCCCCGGCTCATTGGAAGCCCCGCCACAGGCTCCATCATGGGAACGCCTGATGCCTGTACTCGGATGGGGGATGGCGTGCGCGAGCTCGCAATGGAAGCGGGGCCACGAATAGTGGAGGGCACTGTGCAGCTTTGTGGCCACACCTGTGCACTTGCGAGGGTAGGTCCGGAAAAGGTCATGGAGCCAGGCTGAGAAACATAACCTGTCACGCCTGCTGGCACGGAGCCCTGTTTCTCATTCACCGCGGAGGTTTCTACCTCGACCACACGCTCGATGTAGTTCATTGCTACCCTTGGAACTTCCTTTATGACTTCCTGGTACATGGGTGCCAGCTCCTCACGTACAACTTCGACGAGATTGGCCTGCGGAAGTTCGACTGCCTGCTCCTCAACAAGGACTTGTGGCACGTGCACGATGCGCTCCTGCACTTCTGTCGTGAGCTTTGGCACGACACGATCCCGTGGCTCAAACTTTGGTCGTAGCTTTTGGGTCACAATTTCCACCGCTGCCACCTCCTCCACCTCGACCGGCTTTTCGTGAACCAAGTGAATGGGCACCTCCACATGTTTGGTCTCCGATTGCAGCTGCACTTTGGGGAACTCTCTCGGGGCGTCTTGCCACTGTACCTTTGCAACCTGGCGGATCTGCTCAACTGCCATGACCTGCATCACCTCCACCGGTTGCTCGTGCTGGAGGTGAACTGGTATCTCCTCAACTCGCTCATAGTAGCGAAGGTCCTTCTTCGGGATACGCTTATCCACGTACTGGACGATTGTCTTGGGTACCTTGCGCACAACCTCTCGGATTTCCACCTCCGGCACCTCTACAATCCTCTCCTGGTAGATAACCTGAGGAACTTCGACAACCCGTTCTCGGTATTCGAAGACAGGCTTGGCAACTTTCTTTTCCACGTACTGCACCTCCACCTTTGGGACCTGGCGCACAACTTCGCGCAGCTGCACTTTGGGAACCTCGATGATGTTCTCTTGGACCTCGATATGGGGGACATCCTCGAAACGCTCCGTTATCTGGACTTGCGGCCGCTCAACCTGGCGCTCCACCTGCTGCACCTCCACCTGACACCAGAACTCACAAGGCAAGACGGGTACCAGCATCATGTATGTATAGCATAAGGTAGCAAAGGGAATCGTGAGCCAGCCATCAGAAACGCAGGAAAATACTCAAAGTAGGAAAAATGTGAATCATGGCTACGAAAAAATAGTAACGAAGTGACACCAAAGGAAAACATATTTTAAAAAACAGCATAAAAAATGGGACAGCAAATAAGAGCAACAAGAAGGCGTGAGAAGCAACATCCATAGAACCATCACAACAGCAGCAATACCACGTCAACTCGCATATCTGGGCCCCTCCCTCCCGAACCACCCCAGAAAAAAACCGTCCGCTGGGGGGCCTGAGGGGGTGTAGGCGGGGCGTGACTCGCACTTCAACGGTGAGGTAAGAGTCTGGCCCTTCCCCTCCCCATCCCCTACCTCCCCAAAGCCAGCTAGAAGCTCCACCCATGCACCGTTGCACGGCGCTTTCAGCTCGCTTTGGACCACCCCCACCTCCCCCAAGCCAGCAAAAGAGCCCGTTGCACCTGAGCTCTGGCCTGACTAGCATAACCCGAGCACGCTGGCTGACCTCCCGTGCCGAAATCCGACCCCTCCGAAAAGCTTTGTTTTCATCCTATGTACATCCTATTTTTTCCTGTTGTAAATCGTATTCCCAAATCCGACCCTATCAGCAACCCTATTCCAAATCCCAATTTTGCCTAGATGAAATAGTTTTCTGAACTCCTCGATGCTGGCCAAGAGCTTTTTTCTAGCGTAGAGGCGTAGAAATCTAGAGATGCCATGGAAGTTTTGGAGTTTGTCACTTGATGCACCCAGGTCGTGCCTTGGCTACTTGTTTCACCAGCTCAATCCGAGCAGGCACGGGAACCTCCGTGATCTCTTCGTGCACCAATGTCTGCGGGACTTCCACCGCTCGCTCCCTGAACTGATACACTGGCTTTGCATAAGGCTTGTTCACCCTTTGCTCCACGATGCGGGCAACCTGCTTGACGCACTCAAGAACCTGCACCTGAGGCACCTCTACGGCCACCTCCTTTTGCAGCACGGTCGGCACCTCTTGCACCATCTCTCTACCCTCCACGATCGGCAAAGGCACTTCCCTGACGACCTCCTGATATTCAGGAACTGGCACTTGCCGCAGTGTTTCGACTATATGTGTCTGCGGTACTTCGATCACCTTTTCTTGAGTAATGCGGGTGACCACCTCCTGGACCTGCTCGGACACCTCATATTCCGGTATCTCCACGGGCTTCTCCACCGTCTTGTACTCGGGCTTCTGCTTTACGATGGTGTGATGCTCAACAATTTCGCGAGGGAGATCCCTCATGAGCCCCTGCAAACTGACAGATGGCACTGCAGCCACTTCCAAGGAGGGAGCGGAAGCGGAGGGAGCCCGAGCCGCTGCAGTCTGAGCCCGGTTTGGGGGCAGCGTTACCGGCTCTGTCAACTGAAGGTCCATGGCTCTGCGGTCAGGCGCCAGGCGCCACTGGGCCCCGTCCCGCCGGGCCCGGCTCGGCTACGGGAACTCCGCTTGGGCCATGGCTGGTAGGACTGCAACTGGCCAATGGGGCAGGGCACTTAAAAACACCTCAAACCTGCAGCACTGCAGCATCCCGTGCCCCCGTCCTCGGACGATGGGCCGGTATCGTGCATCGCGACGGCCCCAACTGAAAGCTTTAGAACCAGCTGCCGACTGGCACCAATGGCGGCAGCAGATAGCCGAAAAGAAACTGCCAACTGCTGCTGCTCTATCTGTTAAAAAACGCAACAAGTTTCGGGCAACGTCGGCCTGCATGCAGAATATTCACGCATCGTTGGCGTGATTGGTCCGGGGTGAAACCACGCTAGCCACCATAGTTGCAGGGGCTACTCTAGAATGCAATACCGCCACCAGTGCATGCCTGTGCGCCACCTCATTTAGCAAGGCCCCTCAGATGCACATGCTACATCGTTACGGGCCAGATGGAAAAAAGGCAACACTGTTTTACCAACAACTAATAGACTGCTTTCAGCTCGAAGCGCCGGATGCAGCATGTGCCTTCGACTGATATGTGCTGCTGAGCAGAACACACACACACACATCAGTGTTGCTCTCGAGCACGATGGGAGTTATTGCTGCTAGCAGAGCTGGAGGTAAAGAGCTCGGCTTCACTGAAGCAAAGCCCCGAACTGCCCAGAACAGACGCGACATGACGCGACACAGGAGCTGAAACTACCGAGTCGCATGTAGCCGGACGGAACAGCAGGCCAGACAATGCTCAAAGAGGCTTCGAGCACCCTCCCGACTTGCAGCAAAGCAATTCTACCGGGTACAGGAGCCAGGGCTGTAAGCAGGCACATTCAGAGTGTCACAGACGTGCCGGCCTCTGGGTTAAGATGTCGGTGCACTCTCATATCTGCCACCGGGCCGATGCCTTTGTCGAGCTTCCAGCTTCCACATTTCCAAACAGGCCAGGCAGCACCGCAGCGCGGTCCCTTCAGCGCCTCGAGCGTGTGACCAACGCCGTAACGGACGTTACGGCCACCAGTGCTGCAAGTCCAGCGAGCGTCAGAGTGGGCCAGGCTGTTTGTCCCGAGACGTCTGGCGACTGTCCTGAGGTGACCGGACTGTCTAGAGTCTAGAGCCGGACTGGCATTTTTGTACGAAACAGCCCTCCAGTTCTTCTGGGGGAGTGTGCACTTCCCTCCATATACACCAAATCATCTTACAAAACCAAGACATTGGGCGAGTGACGCAAAGACCACTTCTGCTCGGACTTCTCTGGACATCCCAACTTCTCGTGATTGCAGCACCACTCCTGCTTAGCTGGAAACCAGACCTGCGCGGCACACCACAGTGGGATAACGCAGTTCAGTGACTCCGACCAAAAACTTTGAGGGCAGATGTGGGCAGTGCTGAAGTGAAGTCATGCGGCCATCTGCCACATGTCCAGGCCCTCGTGACAATTGAATGGCTTGCCAGCCACCGCTTTCTCGTGGTGCTCGTGCTGGTGAGTGGTCGGAGTCGGAGTCGTTGTCTGTACCTCAGCTAGTAGAGCTCTCCTGGAATCTATTCACTTCCGTGGAGCCAGTGCTTGAATTAGTAGCTTGCTGGGGGATAGTGTCCGACCCGAGAGGTCAGGATGAACACGATTATGAACAGCACCGCGGACCTCCTTTCAACGCTGGGGCCGCGGCATTTGCAGCGCCGAGACAGGCCTGACCTGTACAGCAAAGCTCTGTTCGGCCACGATGCAAAGAAGATCTGAAGCCTTGTATGTAGTGCAATCAAGCTGCTGACGCTGCACATGTCGCACAGACCCTGGCACTCGCGCAGTACGAGTTCGTGAGCAAGTTGGCACGGAGATACCTCGCCTGAAGGTCTCAAACAAGCCGTGGCAACATGATGTTCTACGACAGCAGTGCAAACATCAGGCGCCCCCGAGGAGATGGGAGACGCCAACAGCAAAAGCTTTGCTGACTGCTGTCAAGCAGCCGAGAAACGTGTGCACAGAAGCAAAATGAATTCTCTCCTCACAGGTCACCTGAACGGGATGTCGCGCAAATCTCGTGAGATTCAGGTTCACTGACGGAGGAGGAGCAACCACCTTGACGTTTTGCAGGGTACAGAACTTCTTGCAGCCAGGGAATGTCGTGGTCATGGTTTCCGTCCTCAAGAGAATCGAAATCGAAAACCTGGACCATAGCCTCTCTCAGGCCTCAGGTTGGCAAGCTGCACTTGCTGGAGATCGGCATGCATCCGTGTCCTCGTAGTGGTTTCTGTGATGGTGGTAGGTGGGCAGCCGCGATTCGTTTTCTGGCAACACCAGATCCTGTGCACTCCGAAGCTGCAGATCCCGCACCCTCATCAGCTTCAAACGATGCTTACATGTCTGGACAAGCTGGAACAGAAGCACCTGTAGTCCCCGCACAGCTGTAGCACTCCCCATAGCTATGCAATGCCAAGGAGCTTCTTGCCCTCAGACCAGCCGTGGACCCAGTTCATGTAACCCGACTCGCAATCAAACCTGTCTCTGCAGCCAGTAGAATCCAGCAGACCCACAAAGGCAGCAAACTGTTAACCTGAAGTCCTACACCGAACTCTGCACTGACAAAGCAGGTAGCGCGTTGTCAGGGCAACCCAGGCCAAATTTGGCACAGCAATGTGCTTGTTTCCTGGGCGACAGAATGCGCAAGCGAAGTTCTGCCACGCGCAAGAATCTCTGAATCGAGCTTTAGACTTTAGAAGACACTTCGACAAGCTTGCGAATTCAACCTGCCGCACTCCGGCACTCACATTTCCATCCTGCCATGCAATCATACACGACGTACATGAACAAAGAAACCTCGGAAGAACATAAGTGTTCAGCTTGGCATCTCAATGTCCCAGTACATCCTCACCTGGCACGAGCGATGGTTTTGCTGCAAAGTGGCCAACACCGATCGCACAGCGACACAGAGCTCGAGACTTGCAGCTGAAGCTTGGCTTCGTGCATCTTCGAGTCCCTCGTTGCAGTCGTAGCGCGTGTCCCCGTCTTCGACCACCGCCTGAAATCCGAGGAGGGAGTGGAAGTCATTTCAAGGAAACTTCGCAGTGGGCGGCCTCTGTCATGTCAAGCCGTCGGGCTTGATCTGCTTCTGGCCGACATCCCAAGCTATGCACCAGGCAGCACCAAACCTGACCAGGAGCCACACCCACACTGCCGGCTCAGATGTTCACGACACCTTCTCCTCTTCGAGAACGACACCGGCTTGACAGGACTCCTCGGAAATCTCTGCAGCCTCGGGATCGATTGCAAAACCAGGGACTTGCGTGAAAGCGTGAAATGGCAGCCTTTACACATGGAGCCGTCCTGACAAGGGGCGGTGCGGACCAGTAGCAGCACCCAGAGCCAAATCTGGTGCATGGCCTGGGACTTGGCAGAATGCGGTGCATTTAGCAAGTTTTGAGGTCCTAAGTATGCCTAAGTAGCAAAGCCAGCCGAGCTACTCGTGAAATAGCAGACTGCATGGGCGCTTTCGGCTCGAATCAAGAAGTACGCTCGCAAGGAAACAGCGACAGATCCGTTCCCGACCACTGCAACACTGACAAGATGTGTTTTGGACTGGCCTGGGACAGGATGTCTAGCAGGTCAGGATCCGTGCCTCCAGGTGTTCTGCCCGAGGCGCCCCGACTGCCCTGACCCCCGCTTGAGCACCCAGGGCTGCCAAACTTCTTTTCAAGTGCAGTAGAGTATACCATGCAGTGGTTACTAGGACCTCATGCGCCTCATATCATTGAAAGCTTCCGAGAAGATGCAAATCAACACATCCACTTTTGCTTGACTCGCAAGAAGGCATGCCCTTCGGCAATCCACCTAGGCCTGACTAACCCCGTCAGCCAAGTGGCACCGAGGGCATATTTGCAAGACCTACCAGGCCTGAACCGGAGCGATGTGTAACAAGCATTGCATACTTTCATACGCAAAACTCGTTGTGGTGGACTACAAGATCTGACACTTCTCTTGTTCCAACTCTTAGAACATAGCATGACATAGCATAGCTCGTTAAAGCACGATGAAACGAGAAGACAGACAAAAGCCATGTCGCAAAGCCTCGCAAGCTCCCATAGCTTGTTGACCGCGTGCATGTGTGAGCTCGGCCGGAAGCAGAGCTCTGATAAGTTGCTAGCAAACAGCGAGTGAAGCGGGATACCGACGGACCCTCCTGCCGGCAGTCGAGGCTCTTAATTCTTCAAAACTTTGTTGAGACATTCAAAGAGGGCTCTTGTGCCTCTAGGTTAAGACCTGCTGAAAACATCGCACTGTACATGATGAGGCTAGGTCAGCAGCAAGAAGAGCTGCATAAAGACGCTCATGTGGGCGCAGAAGGTAAAGGATTGTTGGGCTCGTCAGAGGAAGTAAGCCCACAATCCTAAGTTTTCACTCTGCAGACCAATCTTTCCGCCAGAGCGTATCTACTCACCTCATTGACTTGACTGCCAGGCTGGCCTGTAGAAGTGGATGCTGGAAAAGCGATGGGAGTTGCGGAGTGATCTGCGCGGCAGCTGCAATCACTTCTGCGGGCGTGTCGCCCATCCTCGAACAAAAGCAGTTGGAACAGCGTAGGCAGCGGTGCGCCGCGCAAGACTCCCACTGACAAACCTGTGCAAGATCTACTTCTAGAACCTGGAACTACCACCTTCGAGACTTACTGCTGTGTTGACACCAACTGAGGCGCTTTAGCATCAGCGGATGGCCAGCCAGACCTCACATGAGTGCAGCATGCATAAGAAGGGCGCAATTGGCGTGCGACGCTTTCCTCTACCAGCGCTCATACTGCATGTTTAGAAGTTTGGCACCTCTATATATGGCGCGAGTTGTTCCATCATATCTTTGTGCCAGGGCTCGCTGCAAGAACTCACGGCGGCGCCCCGCCAGGGCCAGTGGCAATTCACCCGTCGTCCCGCCTCAGCTGCGGAAGCAATTGCGTGCTGAGGTGATACCTGGCCTCTTCATGTACAGGACTCGCAAATGGAAGCTCGACGTGCGGCATCCAATACTGCGATAGGTAGGATCTACATAATCTGAATATCACCCAGTTGCGGACGGATGGTCCATCAAGATCCCGTGGGTATAACGGACGGTGGGAGCGCCGCGCGAGCAGCAAGCAGGCGTCCTGGTGCGCGACCAGAGCGACAGGAGCCCGCAAGCCAGGAATTGAGCGGCTGTGGAGCCTCAAAGCTAGTAAGATAAACATCTCGTGCGGAAGGTTCGACCGTCATTGCGGATCTCGTGTCGTCCTAACCCGGTAGGCTTTCAGCTATGTTCGGCTCTCACGGCTCCGTCAAGCCGATTGCGGGATGCTGCGATGAAAGGCGCTGCTAAAGAAGGAACAAGCCTTTAAGATCGCTGAATGTTGCGGCTGCTGTCAAAGTCGGAAAGATAAACCCTCGACGCAATGATTCCAGGACCGGGACCCAGACAGTGCGCAAAGGACCGGTGATAAAGAAAGATGTAACCGGGTATCCCGTATCCCTACTGTCCAAAATTTACCCACCTGTGACGGGTACATACAGGTACTCTGTCCACGAGATTCAACCATGGCGCAAACCTTGAATCGCATACATTTGGGCATGTATGCATGAGCACATACCGCTGTCATGTCCACCTAGAAAGTGTGTGTCCACACCTGTTGCGATATTTCCGCACATCACTTTCGTGTCCAATGCATCAGGCTCAACGTTCCATAGCCTCGGGTCTGGAGCTTCATGCTCCGCTGTATTGCAATGAGTTGTTGATATTTTCACCTGTACATACTGACCTTCTAGACGGTGGTTTCAGGACTGTTGCTTGTTTGTCCATGCCTATGTTTGAAGTTAATACGTATCTACCTGTAACCATAATCATAAACACAAACATAAAACATAACATGAATAAACATACGCATGTAAATATGTGTGTATATATATATATATGTATAATTCAACTGTGAATATAGATGTAGATAATACAGATCTAAATACAAATACAAATGCAGGTACAAGTACAAGTACAAATACAGAATCAAACAGGAATAAAACTAGAAATTGAAATAGGACCTGACATTGAAATGGAAAATTAAAGATATATAAACAGAAGTAGACATGAAACTAGATACAGCAACTTACATATATATATATGTATAGATATATATATATATATACATATACATATATATATATATGTATATAGCTATATATATATACATATATATATATACATATATATATATGTGTGTGTGTAAATATATAGATATATGTGAATGTGTATGTATGTACGTACGTATGTATGTACGCATGTATGTATGCGTGCATGTTTGTATGCGTGCATGTATGTATGAGTGCATGTATGTATGCATCCGCCTGTCGTCACGTTGCAAGTTGCAAGGCTTGGTTTAGGTTTGTATCTTCGCAAGAGCCCCGCCAACTTTGATTAAACGCCCAGCCATTGTCACCACACCCTGCTTCATAGATGATGCTGAACTTGCGACTCGACAGCAATCTTTTCGGCTGCAAGCTCACTTGGGGCAGAACCGAAACACAGGGCACTTCAAAAAGTCAGTTGCCTCGAATCTGGATGGCTGTACCATGGTGACAACAAAGCTAGCCATCAAAGTGGGACCGCATAAATAGATCGTACGAACGGCTCCAACTCTCTTTCATTACCTGGAGCTCGGTGGGGTGAGCATGCTTCTGTGCATATGCTCTTAACTGAAGAGCCCCACATCAGAAATGTGTGTCAAAGTGAGCGCTTTGCAGTGAAGAAGTATGTATGCATGTGTATGTATACTCATGTACCTATTGGTTTAACTGTCTCGTACTTCTTTATGTTGTCTATTTTTTTGCTTTGAAATTTACATGTGGTATCTATTTATTTAGAAGACCTCTTTAGTCTAGTCTACAGCTGTTATACAGAGCCAAAAGATCGAATAAGGCAGCCCAGTGTAGGCAACCTTCGCCTGTGTCTCGTCTAGGTCTGCTTGTGCTCTCTGCAGTAAATGCAGCACTTTCTTTCACCTAAGTGCTGGCAGAACCATGATGCAGCAGACGCACTTGAAATGTTGGTGGCAACGGCTTCCTAGCACAATAGTGGTGCAGCGTTCTTGGCAAGCTAGATGACGTACGTATGTGGTACCTGAAAGCACTCAAAACAGCAGAAAGGTAGGGACCGAATGTTGGGGGCAGCATTTATGTCTATGTGTGTGTGTGTGTGTCTGTCTGTCTGTCTGTCTCTCT